AGGATCTCACTGTTACATAACTGACAAATGACAAGCTTAGAGGACAGCAACACATATTACAACTTTACAGGGTTTCAACAGATGCTAGTGGAATTTTTATCTGACATTTATCGAATGTTTATATATCATTTAAAACTTTTAAAATAGTAATATAAAAACACAAGTAGCCAAGTCATGCTGCACATGCAAGCATGCATAACAATGACTGCAGTATGAACAATTAATTAGCATAAACACAGAGTTATCAGTATATAAGGAATTATTCCTGTTTGGGATCTAGGAGTCTCCAGTTGTCACTCTAGTTTGAGGGTTCACAAGTAAATTGTTTTAAAAAGCTACAATATAAATATACAGTATGAATAAAAACATACACATTTACTCATCCATAGCTTTCTAGTGATTATGCAGTTGGGACCACCTTTTTTAATTTATATAATTTAGGTTTTTTTATGTACTTGTGTTTTCATGTGTTATTTTGTTTTAATTTTTATTTATTTACTGTTGGGATGACAATATTGCAGAATTTTAACTGGCAAATGGGTCAGTTATTTGTGTACTTATTTCATGGATAAAAATCCAATATAGAAATTGCAACTCACAACTTGGTTCTCATAAGCAGTGATGAGTAAATAGAACTGGGAGTGCCTTTGAACTAACACTTTATTTTATAGTGTGCTTTTTACACCTTACAAATCCTGAACAGTAAAGTTATGCATAATTACATGCAACTAACTGTAAATCAAACCCCAATCCTAACCCTATAGAAAGGATAGTATATGGATAAGTATAGTACATTGGTTATTAATATTTCTGTCACGATCTCCAGCTGCAGTGCCCATGAGCTCCTCTAGAGGGTACTCCATCCCATACCTTTGCCACTCAATCCTGGGCTCCATTTCCCATAACCCCGTGCCCAGGAACTGATTACAGACACACCTGTTTCCTATTAGGAGGACTATTTAAGCTGCACACTCTCACACACCAATTGCTGAGTCTTGTTTAGCTGCTAGTGGACATTTATAAGTGTTTCCTTGTTTCTCCATGTTTTTTTTTGTCTTTGGACTTTTTCCTTGTGTTGTGATCGTTTGCTGCCTGCCCTGTCCTTTGTCTGTTTCTTGGATTACTCTTTTGTCTTGCCCTTGGATATTGTTGTTTGCTGGTGTTTGACCCTGCCTGTTTCGACTACGCTCTGTAATAAAGCTTGCTTTTGGATCCCCTACTCCATTGTCACACCGTCCGTAACAATTTCTTTGTTGCATGTAATTACACTGTAACAAGAACACCTTAAAATAAAGTGCAATTGCCTTTTATATTAGAATTCAATTTCTGAATTTGAATTGTGGTAGCAAACGAAGATATATTGAACTTCAAAAGAGATTTATGCAAGTGTAATTTTTAAATAAAACAATCAAAATTTGTTGAGATGAACTTGACTTAAAAATAAAGTGTCTTTAAGGTTGAAAGTTTATAGGCTTATGGTCAGAGAGAATGTCAGAATGATGATTTAGCCTATAGAAATATAGTATAATATAATATTCTAAAAATATACCAAGAACCCTCTTTCAATCTACAGTACATGATTCTGGACTCTAGATATCTGGGTCCCTCCTTCAATCTAATAATAATAATAAGGTTACACTTGATTTGAAGGTGTCCTTGTTACAGTGTAATTATACATATAAGTACTGAGTAATAATTATTAACTACATGCATTTACTATATGGTTAGGATTAGGGTTACTTGCATGTAATTATGCATAATTAATTGTTATTATCATAGTAAGTACATGTAACGTGTGTAACAAGGACACACGTTACATGTACTTACTATGATAATAATAATTACTTATGCATAATTACATGCAAGTAACCCTAAGTTACAAGATGTGTAACAAGGACACCTTAAAATAAAGTGTTACCAATAATAATAATAATAATAATAATAATAGTAGTTATTATTATTATTATTATTATTATTATCATCAGCAGCATTTGTTAGAAGAAAATTGCAAATCTGCTAGAAAATTAATTGCACAGCTCTCTTCATGATTTTGTGATTTGAAGTATCATGTATACCTGTAGCACAATCAGTGTAGATATCTCTTTAAAGGGTTAGTTCACCCCAAAATGAAAATTCTGTCATTAATTGCTCACCCTTATATCGTTTCAAACCCGTAAGACCTTCGTTCATCTTCGGAACACAAACTAAGATATTTTTTGATGGAATCTGAGAGCTTTCTGACCCTGTATAGACAGCAATGCAGCTGTAATGTTCCCAGGTCCAGAAACGTAGTAAGAACATCGGTAAAACAGTCCATGTGACATCAGTGGTGCAACTTCAGTTTTGCAAAGCTACGCGAATACTTTTTGTGCACAAAGAAAATAACATAATTTATTTAAAGGTGACATATCATGAAAATCTGACTTTTCTAGGTTTTAAGTGCTAGCAAATTCCAAGAAACGTTGTAGCTCCTTTAAAGGTGACATATCATGAAAATCTGACTTTTCTAGGTTTTAAGTGCTATAATCAGGTCTCCGCTGCATCTACCAACAATCGACAATCGACAACGGTGTACCAGCTCTAATGCCATGGCGAAAGTTTGAGCAAAACATGCTAACTGTTCTGTCTTTGGCTGCACAGACGAGCACAGAACAGTATTTAGAGTCCCAGCCTCAGAGGAGACAAGAGAGCAGTGGATTTATTGATTTATTTAGGCTACTGTATATTGCTGCTGCCACACAGATCTAAAATAAACATGCAATTTATTTCCCAGCTGTTTACCTTCACAGACATAACCGACTGTTGTTGTAACTCGTGTGTTTTTAACGTAAATTTGTGTGTGAAAGAGAACTTAGTTTAGCACTCACACGCTGTGACAGCCGCTTTCTGTCCGTGTGCTTCAGATGTGTGCACTCAGAAAACCATATATCAGAAGTTTAAACTCATATGGTTTAAAAC